ATCTTCCTTCTGAGGAGTGGCTGGTGGATTTGAACCACCAGCCTTCTGGTTAGCAGTCAAGTGCCTTAGGCACTATGTTACCAGAGGCCATTAGGAAGATGTAAACCAAAACCACCAGGAGATAGCACTTCACCCCCATCAGAAAGACAATGATCAAGAACTGCGCAATAGGTGTGCTGGAAAGCTGTGGAGGAACTGGAACCCTCGTCCCTGGCCGGTGGGGTGGCGTGGCGGGCCCTAAGGAAGGGAACACAGAACCACATGGCCAGCAGCTGCACTCCTAGGTGTAGACCAGACCTGGGAACGGGGCTGAGTAACCGAAACCGGACACCACTGCTCACTGCAACACAGTCCCCAAGAGCCACAGGGTGCACACCACCAGCCAGAACATGGCCAGGCAGACATCTGGCGTGACCACGGGGGTCTACACTGCACTCAAGCCACTTCCGTCTGTCACCTGGCGACAACCCAGCCCAGGTGTGCTCCCCCGCCATCGCTGTAACGAGCAGGTGAGCTCTGGGGAGAAAAGTGCCAAGGGCTGCACCTGCTCCTCTTGCCATACCTGGAACTTCCCATCTCCAGTGAGACGAGAGAGCTCCCGGAACTCCAGCTGAATGCTGGTCACCTCAGCCACCGTGCTGTCAGAGGTCCATCGGGGAGGGTGGGCGTTGCCAGTGCCGATATTCACGTCAGAGAACGGAATCTTGGAGGGGGTCCTGAAGGCAGGCATCAGCCGATTTCCAAAATCTTTCTAAAGGAGGAGAGCAGAGAACCCACTGCTCAGGTCAGAGGGAGGCCTTGTCTACGTCTCCCCATCTGATGGGTCGCCAGCTCCATCCCAGGAAGTGGAGGGCAATGTGCCACTGGCTCCCAAGGCCACAGTGCCCCAAAACTCCACCGCAGCAGAAATAAGCTGGCGTCACTCCAACTGACAGCCCTGTGTCAGTGGGTGTCGGTGGCGTAAGTGTGCCGTGTCAGACACATGCGTCATGACCACAGGAATGGACTTTAAGAGAGAAAATGGAAACAGAGCATCCCCGGACGCCCCCCGTCATAGGTCACTGCATGAAGTGCCAGCCCTGGTGTCAGGTACTCACAGCTTTCTCCAGGAAGAGGCTGTCCCCTGTCAGGTGGTACGTGCTCAGCAGCCCCCCCAGGATCCGGATTGTGCTCTCAAACAGGTTGACGTCCACGTCCTTCTGGAACTGTAACTTTTGGGACACCCACGTCCTGGCTTCTTCAAACTCTAGGACACAAACAGCACAGGTTTCGGGAGTGAAGGAGCCACCCTGCCCTCACCCACGCTGTCTGGGTCCACGCTGTCTGGGGCCCTGTGAGGGTTCGCTCCTGCAGGCCCTCACCCACACTCTCTGGGTCCATGTTTGATCCTGCACAGTTTCAGTGTTACTTCTGACTCCCTGGAGATGAGCAAACACGGAGCGATAAAACAAAGCCAGCAGCCCATACACAGTGACAGTGTACATGGTTGCCGATCAAAGGCCATCACTCCCAGGACCACAGAAATGAGTCTGGGGTAGCATTCAACGTATTCAGAAAACCAAAAATGGAAAGGCAAATGTTTAAAATATCGACCTAGAAATAACTACAGACGTTGCCTACGGAGCCCCGGTGCCACAGTGGGTAAGCACTCAGCTGCAACCGAACCGTTGGCCATCTGCATCTACCAGCTGCTCTGTGGGAGACGTGGCAGTCTGGTCCCGTGAGGGGGACAGCCTTGACTATCCTGCAGGGCAGCTGGCATCTTACAGGGTCACTATGAGTCAGAAGCAACCCAACAGCCACAGGTTTGGGTGGTTTTACAGATGCTGCTCAGACACGTGAGGGAGACAAACTTGGCACACAATCCAGAGTCCACCAAAAACTGCTGGGTCTGAAGCGGGCACCCCAGAGACCCCGGGGTGGAGCCAGGCACGGACCCCATTCCAGGCTCAGCTCCCCTCCTAGCCACCCCAAGACATGGCCACAGGCTGGGAAGGAGCAGGTACCTTTTGTCAGGCCCAGGATCCACATGGTGTCCAGGGCATCGACCAGGGTGAGGCCAAGGCCGAACCACTCGCTGAAGGACCTGGCTAGGGGCCTCAGCTCGTCATGGCCCCACGCGTATTTTCGGTAGCCCTTCCACGCATGGCGGAAGGCATCCACCACAGCCTTCTGGCGTGTGTTTGGGGCTGCTGCAGGGGCAAGAAGGGCCACTCAGGGGGGGTGGGGGGATCTGGAGCTTTGGCCAATTCCCTGGGCAAGGACCCTCCAGCACAACCACCCACTTGAGAGGGCCTCAAGACCAAGCGGTATCATACCCATCCCATGCCCAGGCGAGGCAAGGGGCCCAGGGCAAGAGAATCAGCCTTTCCCAGCCCAATTTCCTGTCCCCACTCAGACCCCTGGAATGGGCTGTGGGGCCACGTCAGTCCTTCACAGTTCAGAGAGAAGTAAAGCTGAGACCTGGGGTGGCTGTGGGTGCTGGGGACCAGCAGGTATGAGGGGCTGCCTCTGTCACCCCACTCTAGACTGCAGGGACTGGGCTGGCCCATGAGGGTGGAGGTGGGCCTTACCTGGCGCTTTCTGAGTCCTGGCTTCTGGGGCTGGCTGCTTGGTGGGGACAGCAGTTCTCCTGGACGGGGGCTCAGTCCCCTGCTCAGGCTCAATCACAGATCCTCTCCAGCTTCATTGTAACAGGGAGACCGCAGTCATAACAGTGGCTGCCACAACTACACAAACCTGTGCTGGTGGCTGCTCAGTGCTGCCCTGAGCCATCGTACCCAAGCTTGCTGGGGTGCCAGGCTAATGGGCTAAAGGGAACCATGCCCGCGGTGTCAGCACCAGTCCTAGGGTGTCCCCTGGGGCCAGAGAGGGCTGCTCTGCAAAGGGGGCTGCCCACGGCCCGGCAGTGGGAGGACATGGAGGGTGTGGCTGTGCTGGGGACAGTGAGACACGCCGTGGGGACAGTGGGGGCTGGTGGCCTCCTATGCAGGGCAAGGCTGCATCCCCTGTGCAAGGTCCCACCAGACCCTGGACCAGGAGTGGGCTCAGCTTGTTAACAGGCCGTGCCATGACAGACATGCCCTTGACTTGCTCAGAACTGAAACCACTGATGCTCTATGGAGCCACAGGACGTCAGGGTGACGTCAGGGTGATAGGGTCCCTGGGCAGGAGATGAGTGACGCCCTTTCCTGGCCCAGGGACCCGCACACATCCTGCCTGCCAGGGCTCTTCCATGGCAAAGTGCTTGCCACAGGAGAGACACCACCATGCAGCTCCCAGACCCCCTCTACTTTACAACACCTGCATGAACAAAGGCTGACCTCAACCCGTAAGGGTGCGTGGACTGGGAAAGCCATGGCCAGACTGATGTGCAGGTACCAGGTTTCAAAGAACACAGACCAGGAATAATCAGGGAGGTACCTTTAGAACCATACCCATTCCCCAAAAGAGCAACACTGGGAAGCCGTCACCCCTCAGCAGCTTCACTGTGGCCACCCAGAGGGCAGGGCCAGCACCCTGGGAGCCTGGCACAGCAGATCCCCTTCCACACCGCTCCCGCCCACCTCAGAAGTGACCCAGGAGGGTAGGAGGCCCAGCCAGCACGCTGGCTGCACCCACGCCCACTGCCCACAAAGGGCTCCCAGCCCGAGACCTCCCCCCGACCCTGGGAGCACTGCTCCCTACATCGCTTCATGTCCAGACTCAGCTGTGCCCTCCAGCTTTTTAACACGGTTTTATGTTCAATCAGAGCCCCATCAAGGAAGATCCCGAGCACTGCTGCATGCCAGTGCGTCAGAGGGTCTGCGTGAATGTGTGTTGGCTGCTTCCTGTTTCTCCCGGGACTTCATCAGTCTCCCACGGGTTTGTACCTGATGGCCGTTCTCTGCAGGTTTGCCTCCTTGTGCATGTCACCCGGCTCCCTTCTCTTGTGCTCCGCGCTGTCCTGGATCCCATCCTTCACAGCTTTATCAGGGGCTCTGATCTGCAGGCTGGGTGGTCCCCGACGGAAATGCTTTAGTGGCTTCTAAACAAAAAGTAAGTCATCCGTGACCTCTGTGACCCTTAAGCTGGTCCCTGTGGATGGCTGCTCTTTTATATCCTGGACACGCCCCCTCGAGGGCGGAGCCACCCCCTCAGCACTGCAGATGGGCTGTGCTCACGCTCACACACACGTGCACGCCCACACGCACACACACGTGCATGCCCACGCGCACATACACGACTTTAGGGAGTCTCTTTATTTTAACATAACACGCAGACCTGGAAGATGAGCCCCTGGCCAGCTATGTCCTGGCACTGACCTGGCAGGACCACGGCCCCAGTAGCCTGGCCACTCCAGCCCTGGACACAGGGACTTCAGAGGGTTAACAAGGAGAGGTTAGAACAAAGGCCTCAGGGAGGGAAACAGCCTCCAGCCCCTTCAGCTGTCAGTGCTGTGGGAAGGGGCTCGGGCCTAGGGCCCAGTCCCCATGGTGGGCACAGACACAGCTGGGAGACACAACAGAGCTGGGCCCCCTTTGCCAGCTGCACCCGTATCCACACTCCCCCAAAGAAGCCTGGTGGGGTCTCTGCAGCCCCACGTGGGTGCTGCCACTCACACAAGCACAGACTTCCTCTGCTTCCCTCCTGCACACAGCGGGTCACCTTTCTGTGTAACACTGGTTTCTCGAGGGCTCCCATCAGCTCAGTGGCCAGCCCATGCTTTCAAACAGCTGAACCTGTCTGTGTGTCTTCAGTCCTCTAGCGCTTCAGCGCTACTTCCTGCTTCCTGGAGGTCTGCGTGTGTCTGGGCATCCATCTTCCCCATCCTGCCTCTGCTTGGCTTGGCTAATCTTTGATATCTCAGAGAGAGGACTCAGGACACACCCCACACTAATCCTGGCTCATTAACATAACACAGACAACCCATTCCCAGAAGGGACTGTAACCATTATAAGCCTAGAGGCTAGAATTTACAATGCAGGCTACGGGGCAGTTCCACTCTGTCCTGTAGGGTCCATGGCAGTGGGTTGGGTTTTGGGTGCTTTTAGGAGGATGTAATTCAATCTACAACATTCCACCCTTTGGCCATCTAAGATGCAACTCCTGGTCCCTCCCAGACCAGAACAAAGAAGAGTGAAGAAAAGCAAAGACAAAAAGAAAAAATTAGTCCAAAGGAGTAATGGACCACATGAACCCAGACTCCACGATCCTGACGCCAGAACCAGACGGTGCCTGGCTTTCACGGCTGACTGCTCTGAAAAGGATCCCAATAGGAAATCCTAGACAGAATGGGAGAAAAAGGCAGAACTCAACATTATAAAAAAGACCAGGCTTACTAGTCTGATAGTGACCGGTGGAACCCCCAAGACCATGGTCCTTAGACAACCTTCAGGCCTGGAACTGAACTCACCCCCACTGCTTAACTTTCATCCAAACAACAGAAAGACCTGTGAGGAGATAGTCACACCAAGGAAATATACACTCACTAAGAGTCAACCACAGGGAATGAAAAGTACAGCATCTGCTCAGGAGAAACCTCAGAAAGCAGAAAGGGATGGGACAGAAGGACGGAGGGAAATCAGAGGGAGGAAGTGGGAAGGGTCCTGGTACACTGTGGCACTGAAGGAGTGTCACAGAACAAAACGTGTAGGAATTATTGAACTGAAAACCGACTTGGTCTATAAACTTGCACCCGCATCACGTGAAAAAAGTTTTTAAAAGATATACCCTACTGAGATGCAGACAACAAAGATGAACCCTTTTACACGCACAGTACTGAGTTGTCAGTGAAGGCAAACACGGGTATAAGGGTGGATACGTGGGTGGACAGGCTGAACTATTTGGTATGTTTATGCAGCAGGGAGTGTACCCAAGACCATGTAGAGGGTTGACAGACAGTGGTTCTACTAGTATATTTGCATGTTCTGTGAGAATTCCCAAGGTAATAGTAGAGCTGACAAGGGACAAGGTTGTAGTTACTTCTTGATCACAGCTAGCTACCCAGAGGGAGTGAGTGGTTGAACCTGTGGGCTCAGGACGATAGTTGCAGGGGACATCAAGCTCAACTGGCATAACGTACTACACAAAACGTTGTTCCACCTCCTACTTTGGCAAGTAGTGACTGGGATCTTAAAAGCTTGCAAGCAGCCATCTAGATGCAATGATGGGTCTCTTCTTGTCAAGAGCAAAGGAGAATGAAGAAAACCAAAGATTCATGGAAACAATTAGTCCTCACTAATTGAAACCCAAGGAGGGGTCGCTATGAGTCGGGGCCGACTCGATGGCACATAACAACAACAACAACAATTGTAGACTGGTACACCATGCATTCCTCAGCCTATATGACTACGAGACCAGAAGAACTAGATGGTGCTCAGCTACCACTGAACCACTTGGAGGGGAATCTATGTAGGAGATCCTGGATAGAGTGGGAGAACAATGTGGAACAAACTCAAAATAATTTGAAAAAAAAAGGGGGGGGGGACTAGGTTTGCTGGTCTGACAGATCCTGGTAGAATCACTGAGACTATGGCTGCCCTTCAGGTCTGGAATTGAACCCACACCTGTGGCTTCCAGCCAAACAAAAGACAGGCATATGAGGTGAACATTTACCTGAAGTAGATACACTCCCTGGAGAGAACAATCATGGGAAAAAGAAGGGCTGTGTATGCACAGGGAGACAGCTCAGGGGGCAGGAGTGCATGAAGGGATGGACACAGGGAAGAGGTAAGTATCAGGAGGAAGTGGGAGGGGAGCTATTGCATTTGGGTAAATTGTATTCAATGTCATGAGACAACGTGTGTGTGAACTGCTGTATGGAAAATGAATTTGCTCTGTAAACTTTCACCCAAATCACAATTAAAAAAAAAAAAATACACCCTATCCTAACCCTGCCTCATTAACATAACACAGACAACCTGCTCCTAAATGAGATTATACCCAGAGCAAAGAAATAGGATTAACAGCCCCTAATTCTGGGGGATGTATTTCGATCCCTACCACCATGGTAGCAACAAGCCATAATTTATTTAATCCCTATCTATAGGTGGACACTGCTCTGGATTAAACTGTATCCTCCAAGAATATGTGTCCTAAGTCCTAACCTCTATACTAGTGGACAAGGAGCCTGGTGGCACGGTGGTTAAATGCTCAACTGCTAACCCAAAGGCCAGCAGTTTGAACCCACCATCAGCTTTATGGGAGGAAGATGTGGCAGCCTGCTTCTGTAAAGATTACAGTCTTGGGAACCCTATGGGATAGTTCTATTCAGTGCTAAAAGGTTGCTATGCGTCAGAACTGGGAGTAAGAGCAGCTGGGAATAGTGCTTTGTTACGTTAACTTAACATGGCTCTCTTAGCCGTGGTCCTGTAACTTTCACAAAATGGCTGGATGTAAGTATGCAAATGAGGTACTTGTGGTCCACCAACAAGATTAGACAGCTTGCTAATAATGTAAATAAGGTGCATGAAACCTTTGCACAGGTGGGCCTATGGAAATGAAGTATACGAATGCTGATGAAAGGATCAGTCCATTTTGCCACACAGCCAGGCTTAAAACAAGGCAACCCCAGAGGCTACCATCAAAAAGGCTGAGTGCATCTTTCGGACGTGCATCCTTGTGCTGAGGAGCTCATAGACCCAGGAGATAGAGCTGTCTCAGTAGAAAGTGCTGTAGGAGGAACAGCAGGGGTCAGAATTGGTAAAAGGAGTTGGAGGGTAGAGGTGGGCTTCCCAGGCCATGGCTGAGGCTGACCCACCCACAAGACAACTGAGTGCACTAGGGCAAAAGGCTTCCTGGCAAAGAGGGATGCCTCCAGGAACCTATCAGCAGAGTTGATCAGGCAGGGCAGGGGGCAGGCTGAAAGCAAGGGCCAAGAGAGGGCTGACTGCAGGCATAGCCGAGAAGCTGTCCTGAGTGTAGAACCGTAGCCTGAATTATTCCTGTTACCTCCAAATTGATCCTAATCGATTATGGGGCCTATGAGGGAAGTTGCAGGTGAATAAGGAAGATCGAAGAACTGATGAACGGGAATTACAGTGCTGGAGAAAAATACTGAACATGCCGTGGAAGAAAGAGAGCCAGACTGCTCCTTAGAAGTGAGGGCGGCAAGACTTCGTCTCACACACTTTGAACACATTACCAGAAGGGACCAGGCCCTGGAGAAGGCCTGTTTTTGCTAAGCACGGAATCAGTGAAAAAGAGAAAGACCCTCAACAAGATGGACTGACACAGTGGCTGCAACAATGGGCTCAAGTATAGCAAGGACTGTGAGGATGGGGCAGGACCAGGCAGTGTTCTGTTGTACATGGGTTGGTATGCGTCAGAACCAATCCGACAGCACCTAATAACAACAGGTTACGATACAGGACCAGGAGCAACTCACGACTGAGTTCTTCTGTAAGACAGCTTCCTCTCCAGCCGTGCCCACAGACAGGCTCTGCTGCCAGGCCCTGCCTGGGCTTGGTCTCTCACCCATGGCCTGGGGCAAGTGTCACAAAGCTCTTCAGCTCCACCAAGTGTCCAGAGGCGCCTCACTCCACCAGTAAGCCTTGGCCCGAAGACGCTCAGCTCTCTCATGCCACGGATGGGCAGGTACACTCACCACAGCTCCCTTGCCCCATGAGCCAGGAAGCCCAGCACACCATCTAGTGTTGGTCTCCTGGTTCTGCTGCTGCCATTTCTCTGCTGTGCTTGGTGCCATTTCTTTCTATCTCTGGCTGCCTCCAGTATTACAGCTGTCTCCTGGGTCCAGGAAGTTGTCAGCACAGGGACCCCAAGTCCAAAAGACACACTCTGCTTCTGCTCTTCTTTTCGGCAATAAGCCCTTCCCTCTGCTTCGGAGACTGGCTCCCTTTAAGCCTAGCAGACTGGCAAAACTGACCAATCCCCTTGTAAGGGTCCATGCACCTTACCTGCTTTGTTAACAAGCTGTCCCATACCCTTGCTGGGCTACAAACAGCTTATTTGCACAGTCCTACCCAATCCTTTTGTAGGAGTCACAAGACCCTTAATGGCTACAAGGACCATATTAAGTAATTCACCGCACTGCACTAATCAATAAATGAGATTAACCACCTTCCTTTAGAGTCTGCTGATGAGCTAAAATTTTTTTAATGTTTTACTCTTAAAGACCTTGATCCTGACTACTAATGAGGTGATAATTTTTGATTACTTCTTTTTCTGGGGGCTCATTATATTCCCTATCAATGTCCTTTTCTGCTGCCTCATAAGGAATCTGTAGCGAGTCTGCCATTAGCCCACCATTTAAACAGGGATGCCATTTCACCATCTGCTCTTTGTCATTCTTCCCCCGTTTCAGTTCTGGACCCCGTGCCCCTCCACCTCCCTTCAGATCCAGAAACGCTACATCTCAGGGAGGGAGAAATCTGATAATGACAGACTTATTTCAGGTCTCAGACTCCAATCTGCTTTTACAAGTTTATGAAACTCTGAAAGCCAGCAAAACACCAGACTGTGCAGTCTGCAGAACCCAGCTCCACCCCCCGCCCCCGAGCCTTGTCTCCAGTGCACCCACAGGCCCAGGTGCTTCCTGCCCACGGGGCAGGGTCCTCGTCTCTCTCTGCCTCAGCACACAGCACGGCCACAAGCACCCAGACCCCTCTGCTCCACTTGCTCTTTAACTGATCAGTGTGTCCAGCGGGAAGGGTAGTGGGGTGCTTCCTTGGGGGGCTTCGTGTCCTCCCCTGATGCCACTGCTAAGAGGTGCTCCCAGTCTACCCCACGGCCCAGTTCATCTCCCAGGACAGGCCTGCAGGTGCATGAAACCACCACCTGGCCCTGAGGGGCTCATCCCATGGTGTCAGCAGCAACAAAATGAAGCTGGGTGGCACTTACAGGTCCCGGGCACACTCTCCTGCTGCCTCCTGACCGCTCTGCCCAGCCCCCACCTGCCTCTCCCATCCGGATCTCCTTCTGCACACTGACCCTGATGCCACCCTCCCCATGTGCAGTGTGTGTGTGCGTCCCCCAGGACAACTAGACGCTACCACGCGGAGCACCACACCAGTTCCTGGTGCCGTCAGCAGGGAGGCCTCCCTCTCCTTCACCACTCTCCATCTGCCTGGTTCTCCCACAGCTCTGCTGCTCAGTGCTGCCCACTGCACAGTGAGTCTCCACACAGCAACAAGGCAGATTTCCTGCTTAAAGCCCCAGCCTCAAGTCTTCCCATGCATATCAACTGAAACCACCAATGCCACCACTGCCACACCACTTCAGAGCCACCTAGGTGGCTCCGAGCACGCCTTCTGCTCCCCTACCCTTCCCAGTGCTGCAGCCATTACAACTTCCCACAACTCCCAGATCCGCCAATCTCCTCCTCCCTCCGGGGCCTGCCCACAGCCCCAGCAGACACAGTGTACCCTGCTCTCAAAAGAGTCAGCTACTCCCCAGCCTTCAGACTGCCCATTTCCAGTCCTGTGTCAGGGAGGCCTCCTAAGCCCCAGGGCCTGCCCCAACAGTTACTCTTTCACGCACCCTCCACTCACTCCGATCTCACTAGGCATGCATGTCTGCTGCCGCCTTGTCACCTGCCTCTCCTCCCTTGTAAATCCCGAGGGAAAAGGAGCATTATCTGTTTCACCTGTCACTGTTACATAGCTAATGCCCAAGCCAGGAACTGGCATACCACAGGCTTTCAAAGAACGATGAATGATGGGGTATCTCTATTTCCCTGTGCTCTATCTACCAGTCCAGCCTGAGTGGGAGATGAAAATGTGAAACAAACGGTAAGATGGAAAAAGTCTTCTCAACAGAAAAACATTACTTCTCTCTGAAGACACTTTGGGGACGCACAGTACAGTTTATCAAAGTACCTGAGGCGGAATCTCCAGTGAGTCGCGCATGGCACCTGCTGTCTGAGGAGCCGCTAAGACGGGGGGGTGTGCTGGCTGCAGTCCAGGGAAGCCTGCTGTCATCTGCTTTTCTGATGACCTGTCATTTAGGGCTAAACAGAAAACATTTCTTCACAAAATAGGTCATAAGGCATAAACAAACAAACAAACAAAACCCAAACTCAGTGCCATCAAGTTGATTCTGACTCAAAGTGACCCTCTTTGGGTTTCCGAGGCAGTAAATCTTTATGGAAGTAGATTGTACAGTATTCCTTCTGCGGAGTGGCTGGTGGGTTTGAACTACCAACCTTCTGGTTAGCAGGTACTACACCACCAGAGTTCCATAAGGCATAAGACAGATCTAAAACACTTCATAAAAACATTTGGACCAGGCATTACTCATGACAGAAAAACAAGTATGAGACATAAGGAGAATCATTTGTGTCAGTTCAAAATCAGCCTAAATGAAGGAGACGTTTTTCAAAGTACTCGACAGCTTCTGTCCTGACCCAGAACACACAGGCCCAGACGCTTTGCATTTTCCATTGCAGACAGTGCAGCAGGTGACAGGTGATTCATTTGAGCAACCTGAGCACCTCTTTAGCTCCCGTCCCCACAAGTCGCCACTGTAAGATACCATCTACATCCTCATGAACACTGTCCTTTCCCACCACGCGGGAAGGGGTGCTATGAGTGTGAAAGCCACTGCTTGGGCCGAGCACACCACCTCGTGACCTGAACTCCTACGAGATGCTGGCACTCACAAAGCAACGTCAGGCTCACATCCAAGGCTGTGTGACCAGCGAGAAAAGAACCCTTAGGTTCCTAGATCTGATTGGATGCCAATCAGCTGCTATCCATTTAAGGCAGATTTAAGAGAACTGCACCAGTCATGCTTGTTAGAGTAGGAAAAGACAAACAAAAAAAAACCAAACTTGCTGCCATCGCGTCGGTCCCGACTCACAGCGACCCCTAATGGGTGTCTGAGGCGGTGTCTCTACGGAAGTAGGTTGCCCAGTCTTCCTTCCACGGAGCGGCTGGTGGGTTTGAACCGCCAGCCTTCTGGTTCGCAGACAGGTGCCTCAGGCACCACGCCCCCAGAACTTCTAACGTAGAGGGTCAGTGAAATAGACCCTCGATGTGATGGAGTGAACGGCGGCTGCAACAAGGGGCTCCAACAGCAGACGCTGAGGGTGTATGCCTTGTTCCGCTGGGCTCGGGTCGCCCAGAGTCGGAACCGACGGCATGGAGCCCGAGTCACCATTCAACACGTGCGTCCTCCAACGGCCCAGGCGGTACCTTTCCAGCGATCAGCCGAGTTCGCGTAGGACAGGAGCCCACCGATGAGCAGGAAGGCAGACAGCAAGAGGAGGGCGCTCCGCTGCAGGCGCGACAGCTGCTTCCATTTCTAGGGGCGGAGAGAGAGGCGCTCGGGGACCGGCACCGAGTCGGACCCTCCACGCGTGCCCAGGCCGGGGAGGGACTGGGGGTTCGGTGCCCTGATCTGAACTGGAGGAGGGCCCCGGTTGACGGCGGCCCGAGGGTGACAGTCCACGGGCGCACGTGAGATGAGGACACAACGCCATGGACGCCCAGCGCGCAGGCCGCGGAGCCAGGCGCCCCGCCTCACCCCCGGGCGCTCCCCTCCGGCGGAACCCGGGCAGGCGACTGGGACGGACACAGACAGTGGCTGCAGGGCACCCCGACCTCCCCCACTTCCGACTGCCAGCCCGCACAGGGCCCGGGCAGCCAGCTCTCGGCCCTCTGGGCAGACCCTCACCCGCCAACAAGAACGCCGCCGCCCGCCTTTGCTGTTGTCGTAGGTCTCGCCAAGGCTCAGCGTCACCGAGATGAAGTCCCGATGCGGCGGCGGCGGATACATGATCGGAGAGGCGACGGCCCCGGGGGCCCCGCCCACTGGCGGCGTCAGGAGGCCAGACTCTGAGGCGAACCGAGAGTTCCGCTTCTCTGACATATGCAGGCAGCCATTGCACCCCCGTCAACAGTCCTCCCATAGCGCCGCGCCCGAGTGCGCCTGCGCAGCGCGGTCACACGCCACTGCGGCTGCGCACGCCCCCACTCCCGCCCCGCGCAGCTTGGGTTACTACCCACTACCCCTGCGCAAAGAGATTGCGCCTGCGCAGTAAGGATACCCGGCAGCGCTTGCGCCGTTTGAGCCCCTTACACGCCCCCGAACACAGCGCTCCCTGACAAATACACCCACACACACACGTACACATTTCCCCACACCCGCGGGCTCAGCTTTCTCCAGAACGGGGGCATAGCCATAGCAACAAGGCCAACCTGGTTTGTGCTCAGGGCCGTGGTCTCTGCCGGGGCTCCTCCCATAGGACGATCCTGAGAGTTACCGCTCCCATGTTCCCTGGGCTCGGGGCTGCACCTGGGCCTGCAGGCGGCGGGCGTGGTATTTGCCCCCGGAGCTGCCTTAAAGTCGGCAGATGAGTGACGCACTCCGAGCGCTAGGACCAGGCCCCTTGCTTCGCGGAGAGACACCGAGACGCGCCAGGAGCGCGGCCCTCGGGGCGCCGGCCCTGTCCGCCATCTTGTAGGGAAACCCTTGCTCTTGAGCCCAGGCATCCGGGCTACGCGAGCCCATGGGGCCGTGGGCCCTGGATTCGTGGGTGCGTGGGGGGTCGCTGGCCCAGGCTGAGAGGTCCGCACCATGGGTGGCACGTCTGGGTCTCCTGCCGGCGCCGAGCCTGGGCTGCCAGCCACCCTTGCTGTGGCTGCCCCGCGCAGTCTCGCGGACTCCGGCCAGGCCTCCCGGGGCCGCATGCCTGCGGAGAAGGATCAGGCTTTCCTCGGGAAGGCTTTGAGGTGGGGCGAGGACATTCCAGGCCGCAGGAAGAGCATCGCCCCACCTGAGGGGTTCCAAGGCCGAGCGTGGGTGGAGTGTCCCCGCCTGGCTCCTGACACCCCCAGCCCCATGTGGAGGCTGGTCAGTTCTCATCAGTTGAAGCTGAAGGTCACGGGGTGCACTTAGGTTCACCCTTGGCAAAACCGTTTTGTTCTTGAATCCGGTTTTCCAGACCACTCGCCCTTAGGTGGTCTCTTGACCTTGAGCTTTTAAAGAACCAGTTCCCTGGAGGCACTTTCAGGTCAGACAGAAGCCCAGCAGCGGCTTGGCGGAGGCCGTCTTGCCTTCCCCATTGTTTTCTTGGATAATCGTCTCTGTGCAGCTAGCTTGGAAAAGCAGGAACTCCAGGGTCTGACTGGAGGCTGTGTGGGGCTGTGGCCTTGGTGACCAGCCTGCCAACCCTGAAACCTGCCTTTGCTTTGATGCTATCACCTTAGAAATTAACATAACGAGGTAGGTAACCGGCTAGCCAGGTTCCAGGTTCCCTCCTCTAGGGGCTTGCTGACCTGTAGTATTGGTGCTGCCCACACGTTCGAACTGTACTCACAATAAATGTGTCCTGGCACCCTGATTTTTGTGTTTTCTCTGAGCATTTAGGTTTTTGACACCCTTTGGAAAACCAAAGCCCAGGGAGGCTTAGCTCACTGACCACAGCCTTCTGCCTTGAGCTCCTCCCTGCCGCCCCTCACCTGGTTCTTCCCAGCTGTGTGGCCCACTTCCCCATGGAACAGCCCACTCAGGCAGTCTTGGTAGTAACACCGCTGGGGGGCTGGAGGGCTCCCCAGTCTATACAGCTCCCACTTAGCACTTTGGCTTGGAATCTGATTCTCAGAGTTTCTTCCTTTCTTGCCCCCCTTTCCCTCCCAGCCCACCTCTTCCAACATGCAGCCCCGCCAATGTCCCCAGCCCACCCTCAGGCACCCTGCTCACGGCCCTGATAGCACCCCTGGCCCATCCTCGGGCACCCCACGTGCTGCTGGACCACCTGCACACCCCTAGCTTGTCCTGAGGCATCACTGCCTGCACAGCTGGTTGTCTTCAGGTGAAGTGTCACTAGACCGAGCTGAGGGTCCCTAAGCCCACCCCTGGAGAACTCACCAAAGAGCTAGATTCCAGGCCCTGTCTCCAGAGTTCTGGACCTACAAGGTTGTCTCCGGTCCAAGACACTGGAAGGACTGAAGCATCAGGGGCCCAGCAAGCTGCAGTCCTGATGCAGACGTTAGCACCAGGTCCCCTTGCCCAGCCACATGCTGGTCCAACAGCACTCGCCAGGGCAGGGACTGATGACAGCAGTTTATTTTAAACATTCCATCTTTTAGTGTAAAATTGATTCTAAACCCTTTGAAAACTGAGCTGGTCCGTGTTGCTCGGCAGGGTCAGTGGTGGGGGTGGGGGGAAGGGATGGTAGAGCCGCCTTCCTGTGGATGGGAGCATGGTGGGTGTTACATTCATCTTGGCGTGGGATAGGACTGAGAACAGTATTTCAACATCAAGTTCCTGGCTTGCACTGCACTGTCATATGGGAGAGGCAGCCAGTGGGGTAAATGGGGAAGGGCACACGGGGCCTCTACCTACTGTCTTTGCAACTTCAGGTGACATGTCACTGAAAATGAACCGTTAATTATGCTTGCATAGAGGGGCTGCATACTGGTTCCAGCTGTGAGCAGCAGCTGTGGCGTCACGGGCTGCAGCCAGGACCCTGGCCCCACTGACCCACCCTGGCCCCACGCCTGCTGCTTGCCCCACTGGGTGGGGGGTGGGGGCTCAGAGAAGGGTCCTAAGGCACATGGCTTGATTGTGAGGTTTGCAAAGGCTGGGTAGAGCCCAGATGTCTTCCAGGTCTGGTCCAGCAGCTGCGAGGCATGACTGTCCACTCCCTGCCCGTCTAGACACTGCCTGCCCTGGGGACACTGGTGGAAGGAGGTGGCCCCAGGCAGGGCCTGAGAGCTGCAGTGGGGGTGGGCTGGGAGTAAGGTGACTTAGCAGCAGGCGGCATGTGTGAAGCTGCTGTCAGTGAAGAGGCAGGCACACTATCCTTCCTGGACTCCGTAGTGACGAAGCCCGGAGCAGCAAAGCCTGGGCTCCCCCGCCAGGGCAGAGGCAAGGATGCAGCAAGCAGGGCCTGCAGTGCACCAGGCACCCAAAGTAGGGGCTGTGTCCCCACCCCGAGGGCCGGAGAGCAGTGTGAGCACCAAGTCTGTCAAAAGTGACTGGAACTGGGTGAGGGACGCACTCTGGTGAGCCAGCCCCCACCATTCCACCTCCCCCACACCCTGTGGCCTCACCCACCCAGGGTCTTGGTCCCCATGGTCTAAACCCCAACACCAGTGTGACCTGTGGGGCCAAGGCCTCCAGGAAAACTGAAAGGGAGGAAAAGGGGTGGGCTTCAGGTTCGGGTGTTTAGGCCACAGCACCCTCAAGGTTCAAGTTCTTTGGGCAGAGCCAGCTCTGTTGGGGCACCAGTCCGGTTTTGCTGTGAGCTTGGGTGGGCACCAGGGCAGGCAGGGGCCACCCCTCAAACGAGTTCCCCTCACCCATAGTCTATAGACAAGCATCAGGGCCCTGCCCCCCACCCCAAGGTTGGGAACATGCACTGTGGACCTGCACGGTCAGCGTAAGGGGGACACTGCTTCATCTCAGCCCAGACCATGGAGGTGGCCACCACCTCCAAAGCACCTGTGAGTCCATGGGAAGGGACTCTACACCAGATAATGTCATGCCCTTGGGCCCAGCCTGTGCCCCACCCAGCAGTAAACCCCCAAGCCAGCCATGGTCCCATGGAGCTGAAGACAGGAGAGACCACCCCCACAGAGTAAGCAAACGTTTCTTCCCAGGTGCCCCTGGCTAGCCCCTGCTTGTAGTCCAGCCCAGAGGACCCAGGGCTTGGCACGTGGGGGTGAGTCAGGACTCCTGGGTCAGCAGTGCCTGGGCCCGTGCCTCATCCAGGACGAGGGGGGACTGGAATTCCCTGCCCCGCAGGTACTCCTCCAGACCCTGCAAACAAGTAGGCACCTCTCAGCCCCATGTCCCCCTCCCCACGGAACCACGTCCTTGAGCAGGCCCCCGGTGCCACCCGGGGCCGAGGAGGTCTGGAGGTGAGACCACGGGCAGCATGAGCCAGGCTCCAGCCCCCAGGCACACCTCAGGCTGAACTGCCCGAAGAGGGGCTGTGGCCAGCCCAGGTCAGCAGAGGGCCAGCCAGTGTCCCTCCCTCAGCAAGGCTCCCCCGTGGTCAGCCCAGCTCCTGAGCTGGTCCGCCCTCCCCACCAGGCTCCCACAAGGCCTCTGCACCTCCCACCTCACCCCTGTGTCCTGGAGGGGCCTCTGAAACCCAAGAGCCATTGCTCCCACTGGTAAACTGAGGCGCTGCTTGAGCTCCCCACCCACCCAACTCTGACCCCAAAAAGCCCAGAGGGGTGCCTGCTCTCACCTCTCCAGAATAGGATACCAGGGGGGAAATCTCACAGACAACCGGAGGGTCCTCACCTCCCTGCAGCCTAGGTGAGAGTCACTCGTCACCATCCGCTGTGAACAGATCCCCATCCCCCAGCACCCCCACGCACCCCTGCCCAGAGCTGAGCAACTGCTAACAGATCCACGGGTCCCCTCCGCTCCCCTCCACCCAGCGCCCCTGCCCGGAGCTGGGCATCAGATGCCATCTCTCTGCAGCCTCTTCCTTCCTCTGGCTCCTGGACCCAAAGCCAGGCTGCCCTCAGTCTAAGCAACAGTCGAGTTGGGCCAAAACCGCCCGTAAAGTGCTTTGCAGGGGATTAATGACGGTTCCGGACACTGGGCCATGGAGAAGCAGCAGAGGAGAGCTGGCTTCAGAACATCACACGCACCCATCAAAGTTCCCAGGCTTGTGAACCAGGGGACGGCTCAGCCTCCGACCTCTGGGGCCCTGTGTGGACCCCAAGGACTCAGCCCGACGGGCTGCACTGGATGGGCCATGGCAGAAGCCCCCTCCCCAGTGAGGCCTCAGCAGAGGCAGCGGGCCCAGAGCCACACTCACCTGGGCAACGCGGGGAGCAGGGCCCCGTGGCTGTCCAGGAAGTGGGCGCCCGCCTGCAGCGCCCAGCGGTAGTGTTGTGCCAGCAGGGCCCGTCGCGTGGTGGAAGGGCTGTCCCTGTCGGCGGAGTCCGAGTTCTTCAGTGGGGAGAACTCCTCCTCCCGTTGTACTTCAAAGGCAACAAAATTCCTGTGAGGGAAGAGCTGGTCAGCGTGCCACGATCCCAAGGCCCCAGCAGGAGAGGCCAGGCCAGCGGATGGCAACAGAGGGGTCTGTGCCATGAGCCCTGAGGGCCGGTGCGGGGCACCATCCTTCAGAGAGGCCTCTGTGCCCAAGCAAGTCTTTGCTCCCGACACCCCACAGCTGGTGGGGCCCTTCAACATGAAGGCAGAGCCCCAGGGGAGGGCCCAACACCCTGGGGCCACCCTAGTAACCTTGCCTGGAGACCACCTACCACCCCTGGGTGAGGGCAGATGGAGGGACCAGGAGTTGGCACTGGAAGCCTCCAAGGTCCACCACCCCAGGCCCTCAACTGCCCCAGGTGTTCCCCATGCCCTACCCTGGGCGACTGCTTCTCAGGGGCAATGGTGCTCTATGGGCCTCTGCAGGAAAGGGGTCCTTCGGCTGCAGTTCACAGAGCCTGAGACCCCAATGCAGTGGGAGGGGAAAAGAAGAAACACTCCTGCCACTAACTTAGCGAACGGGAACACGTCAAACACAAACTTCTCCATCTTGATCCCGTTGGGTTCCAGCGGCTTCACCACGTTCCCGTCCTCGTCCACGTAGGGGACCTTTTTGACAGCCACATGCTGTTTCAGCAACGGCTCAAACTCCCTGGGTGCCGGTAAGGGGGGACCACAGAGGGCGCAGCTCAGATGGGCCGTGCCCAGGATCAGCCACCCCTCTCAGTGTGCCTGGTGGGCAGAGAGCACCACAGCCCACAGATCTCTGGGGCGGGCAGCAGGACAGGCCACGCCTCCTCCCCACACCCTAGGCCCTGGGAGCCCAGGAGGACAGACAAGGCACAGGGGTGGAGGCGGAGCCCGTGGGCAGTAGGGTGCACGCTGAAGGGAGGCTCGTCAGGTACGCAAGCCCTTCTACACCTGACCGACCCACTGGCTGGCTCCCCCATCCCCTCCTGGCATCAGCCTCCCGTCCCTGGGCCTTCAGCTGCACACCCCAGGCACTGGCACTCGTTGCCCCCTGGGCCGCCCACCTGATGACCGTGTGGAGGAAGTCTCGGGTGAAGAAGTGGTTGCAGATGTTCCCCGCGCTGTACAGCAGGCTCCCATCAGGCGCCTGCAGTCGCGCCGTCTCCAGACTGATCTCGCTGTACTCTACCACCTGGACCACACCATCCACCTGGCACACCACACCCACGGGCTCCTCGGGGTATGCCTTCTGAACCACCTACCAGATGGGGCGGTGGGCTCAGGCAGCTGGACAGGGCTGGGGCAGGTGGGGGGAGGGCGTGTGGCTCACCTTGGCACCACAGTCCGCGCCCTGCAGCACGCAGAAGCCGATGAAGAGGGGGTCAGCCAGCCGTACCAAGATGTTGTCTACACAGTACACATGCACAAACTCCACACCACGGCGCGCCATGTCCTCCAGGATGTGGTGGTCCTCCAGAGCAGAGTACAGGCCCCCATTGCCATCTGCAAGGGGGAAGTGGCGTGACTCCAGAAATCAGGGAGGCAGCCCTTGGTCACCACTCAACCCTGTGACCGTCCACTCATCACACTCCTCCAGGGCCACACAACCTCCCAGGACACACCTCCAGACCCCAGCTTGAGCTCCACCTTCCAGACTGCCGGTCCTCCCTGTCCCTGGGACAAGGCCGTACCTGGGGCCATGGCCACCTTGTCCTTCCGTTCCAGGATAGCCTGGCCATCAACAGTCACTGCAGGCAGCATACGTTGCTCAAACATGACCACGTTGGCAGGTTCCAGCTGGAAGAAGTCATGCTTCTTGAAGAAGGCAGCCGTGGGGCCCAGAGTGAACTCACTTGTCATGATGTACCTGTGGGCAGGGAGCTCTGGTAGCATAGTGGCTAAGGCACTTGACTGCTAACCAGAAGGCTGGCAGTTCAAACCCACCAGCCACTCCTTGGAAGGAAGATGGGGCAATCTACTTCCGTAGTGATACTGCCTCGGACACCCAAGGAGGGGTCGTTACGAGTTGGGACCGACTCGACGGCACATAACAACAACAACAACCTGTGGGCAGGTGTGGGCTGAGCTCCAAGCCAGGCTTAGGTGGGGAGCCCGCAGGCAGACAGGGCAGGGTGGCCAAGGTCAAGACTTGGTCTGGGTGGGTGTGGGGCTGGGGCTCCACGGGACACAGGCTGAGGTGGCAATGGGAGGGCACACCAGGGCACGGTGCAGCGGGTCCCGTGGCGTTTGCTGGCCAGCTGCTCCAGGCGCCGGATCCGCTCAGCCTGCAGCTGGTACAGGGTCTTCTGGCTGGGCAGACCCACACAGTACATGCCCTTGGGGTAGGTCACACCCAGGCGCGTGCCCTGTCCCCCGGCCAGCAGCAGGACCGCCACCTTGTTCAGGGCGATCTGGCGGAAACCTGGGAACAGGGGATGGGTGAGAGGAAGCTGGGCCCCAGCCACCCCCTCACTTTACAGCACCTGGTCCTTGGCCTTGGACATTTTCCATAGAAACAGCACAGAAACTTCCAGCTAATGGCCCAGCCCCACCCAATGTTCTGATCTTATCTGGGCCAGGGCCCTAACTTCACCTACAGACCCTTCAGAGGTGCTGAGGGCGTCCTTCCCAGACGGCTCCCAAGACCGGCCATACCAGCTTGGTCTGCTGGCTGCAGCCCCTGGCTAGACTCCCCTCTGCAAATACCTCTAGGGGCGCAGGAAGCCAGGAGGGCATGGCTTCGAGGTTCCCCGGGCCTGGGGCTGCCCCTTGGGTGAGCAGGCAGATAGCTCCCCAGGGGACAGTGACACACCCACTCGTGGGCTGGCACGTGTGGATCCGAAGAAAGCGACTCCACAAAGCACCCAAGCAGACGTGCACAAGCCAAGCGCCCGCCCCTCCTCGCTCCCTACCACCGGGCGTGGGGTTAACCCTGCTTCTAGGGGCACAACTCGCTACCGGACACCTGCCTACCTTCGTGCTCCCAGCGCTGCCGCGCTTC